ACATGGGTACATGTTCCCAGTGGCCCAGTCTGCACCCCGAAAGGAACAGCATCGCCATATGTCCGGTCACCATCACATTCCTACCCATCATGCGTGTATGTGCTGCTTACCAAACCAAAGAGGGGTGCATGTAGCTTCCAACAAAATAAACACTGCTCCACACTCTGGTTCCACCACGCAATGCGTGGATGAAGCTGGGAAACTGGTGCTAGCCTCCTGCTGCTAAGGGCAGAACTAACTGCTGCATCATGAAAACTGGAAGCCAACTAACGTCACCTGTGTAGGAGGCTGTCAAGAATCGTCAAAGAATTTACGTTGGCACCTCTCATCTATAAAGTCGACACCCTCATGCATGGGAATCTGCTGCCCCCTGTGTGGAAAGCCGACACTCCTGGCGTCTTTGCTCAGTATCTCACATGTTTGGTGCTGCCTATCTGCCCATCGAGCAAGTGTTGATGATGTAACAACAGAGTATATTTCTGCATGGGAACCATGTGACCATGTCCACGAGATGCTAACATCACTTAGAGCTTCTATGCATCCTTAACATACTAGACAAGCCTATGTGATTGCTCTTATCATTGCAGTATCATTACACACATGATGCCTAACCGGTACGCTAAGGGTAAGGCCTTGCATAAGGCCTGGCAGTCACCTGGCCCTGGAACCTGCATGTCCAACACTAATCGACTCTACAGTGAGGACCTCTTACATCGCTCAGTACTGGACAAGGCGTCTGGTGAGGTAGATGGCTTCCATAGTTAAGCATCCACTGCTGCGTGTGGGCCACATATAGGCACTTCTGTGGGTGACATACATACAGCAACCTGATGTTGTTGACCAGCATGTGCCACATCATGGGTGCGGGTCGATACACGGTGTGCTTTATGCGTATAGCCTGCATGTGCGCCCCCACGTACATAACATGCACATCATCAAGCTGGCTCGGAAGGCATCGTAGCTGCTCCAGACCGGCCTCCGTGTGTGACCGCCCATCAGCTGCTGCACGTATGCACACAAGCGCACCCCACATGCATGCCTCAACTGGTGCGCGCCGCTCCCACGCACTCACCCTCTGTCGTCACTAATGTATAACTCTGCTGAGAAGAATTGCTTAGCTTGAGGCTGCAGCAAGCTGTGCGTGTCAGCTTCGTAGGTCACTTGTCAAGCAAGCAACTGGAGCCATGCACACAGCAGATGCATGGTGGCACTCGGGGCTTGGTGTGGTGGGGAGCTCACTGGGAGCCCGCCCACCAGTCCTCCTTCCCCTGGCATGCGCACCTGTGCATTGTAGTACGGCATCCCATGCGCACTTTTTGCCGTATCTGCCTGTTTCCTCATTCGCCTTGCATTTTAGTTAGGTTCGGCATAGTTAGGTCGCGCTGCTCACATGTGTTCCTGCCTTTCTCCCGCCCTCGCATGTTCTTCTTCTTGCCATCGGTTATGAACACTGGTTGCTGGCTGCCGGATGCTTTCGTTCCTGCCTGCAGGCCCGGTCGTTTTACGAGAGTGCTTCTTACGTCCTACATACTCTCAGCACCAGTACTGGACTTCTATATCTACACATATGCTACAATATTCCTCGGCTCCTGCGGCGGTTCTGTGGGGACTTCATCTTCCGACAATATCAGTACGTTCCTACTCGCGGCCAGTTTTCTTAACACAGCAGATGCTGCTGCAGAACACACACACACACACACACACACACACACACACACACACACACACACACACACACACACACACACACACACACACACACACACACACACACACACAAACACACACACACACAAACACACACACACACACACACACACACACACACACACACACACACCTGCTTTCGTTCCTGCCTGGGGTTTCGTAACACACCCCTTGACTTTGGCCTCACACACCATACACTCATTGCTGGCCTCAAACACCTCCTCGTCAATCCTGGTGACTGCCTCCCCTCCTTTGCTTGTGGATCTGACTTTGGCTCAACTGCTGGGGAGTGATGATGAAGGGTAAGCTACAGCAAGTGCAAAGGAGGGGTCAAGACCTGCAGCCAAAACCGGCTTCAAGACAGTAGTCAGCAGGCTCATCACTAGAACCGTCATAGCAGGGGTTGTTGGACCCGACAGCCCTGCCCAGTCATTTGCCCCACCTTTGGGCACTTGAGGTTCGGTCCTGGCTGTCGTTTTAGGGCCGGGAATTGTTGGCCCCTCGTGTTGCCGTACATATGAGAGTACTTATACCATTGATTGAACGAGATGTCATCAAGCGGTCGTGCCCGAGTGGTTAAGGGGTCTGACTCGAAATCAGATGGGATCTCCCGCATAGGTTCGAATCCTGTCGACCGCGTAAGGCCTTGCCTCTATAGCTTAGCGGTAGAGCGTTCCCTTCGTAAGGGAAAGGTCCTGAGTTCAATCCTCAGTGGGGGCATTTTGGGGTTTTGCACGTGCCCCAAACACCGCACAACAACCCTTTTGCCCTCCTATCACACACCAAAACATGGGTACATGTTCCCAGTGGCCCAGTCTGCACCCCGAAAGGAACAGCATCGCCATATGTCCGGTCACCATCACATTCCTACCCATCATGCGTGTATGTGCTGCTTACCAAACCAAAGAGGGGTGCATGTAGCTTCCAACAAAATAAACACTGCTCCACACTCTGGTTCCACCACGCAATGCGTGGATGAAGCTGGGAAACTGGTGCTAGCCTCCTGCTGCTAAGGGCAGAACTAACTGCTGCATCATGAAAACTGGAAGCCAACTAACGTCACCTGTGTAGGAGGCTGTGTGTGTGTAGTTGAGTAGGACAGGAGCAAGCAATGGGGAGAGGTTCGCATGTGAACCGCGAGTACAGGCAAAACAAAGTTGACTGAACCTGAACCGTAATACAGAAAACTGCTTAATTGGCTGTTGCTGGATGTAAGAAGAGTGGCGAGTGATGAGTGACGACGCATGTCGGTGATGCTGATGGTGTCGGAATAAACTAAAATACTACCGAGAACTAAAGCCCGCTGACCAAAGCTCGACGCCGGGAGCCCCCGCTCTGGACACGCAGACGAGACACCACAATGCTGTGCATGCGTGCGTGCAAACGCGCATTGCGTACCTGCGAGCAAAGACGCCGTAGTCAGCACCAGAACCAGCAGCCGCAGTAATGCGAGTAATGCCATGCGCAGAAGCATGAACCAGAGCGAGGAAAGGGGGACAGAGTTAGAGACAAAATGAACCTATATCTAAGTGCGAAATGTACGGCAAAACAGGATGGCATGCGATACAGGACGAAAAACAAGCACAGCACAACATGAATGCAAATGCAGAAGACACCAGACCGAAGCGATCTCATGGCCTGCCCAAATGGGTGTGTAGCATGGGGGGGGTAACGGTGTGGTGGGGTGGTTGGGTGCGTTTTCGCGGCTGTTTATGATGGCGGTGTGTGGGAGTCATGCTTGGGCTGACGAGGCTGCTTAGGAGAGTGACGAGCAGGTTTGGGAGAACGCTTCTCTGCACGCCTTCTCAGCAGCTTCGACACACGAGTGCGTGCTGGTGGTCGGGAGCCCAAGGCCGTCGGAATCCACATCTGGCTCGTTCTCGGTGCCGGGTGCGTCTTCATCTGAAAGGGCATGGCGCGAACCCACAACTCTGTTATCTATGTATCTCAAGCAGCAAGTGTTCACTAAGGCTTATCCAACGTGTGTGCGCTTATATGAAGGCCGGAGCTATAGAACCTTTGTGAATGCCCCACAACTAGCAAATATTGGCAAACAACCAATAACCTACCAATGTCACCATCCTCCACACGACGCTGAGTTTTCGCCAACTGCCCAAGTCGGTAGTGCACTTGACTGTACGTGGCAGCACTTCCTTTCAACTCCTTTACGACAGCGCCCGCTGTTACTTTTCTGTTGGCGGATTGTAGCGTGAGCACTGCTTCCTGAAACGCTGATTCTTCGTCCGGAGTCCACTTTGAACGCTTCTTCGAAGGCTGAGTGGTAGCGTTGGGCTTAGGCCGGATATACTTTTGCCCGGCTTTGTTGTATTGCAAAAAGCTGAGAACACGTTTATACGTCAAGCCCTTCAAGCGCGTGTCGGAGCACACTTCATCATACAATAGCTTGGCAGTAAGTTTCAGTCCGCTAGAAGCAATAGTCTCGGCTGCTTTACACAGAGCCTCAACTTCATATGTTTTCCTGCATTCCCTGGCCATTGTGTGTATTGAGTAATGAAGGCAATACAAAGCCATTTGTGTCGGCTCTATTAAACTACGCTGCTGGCCTTACCGCGACAACAACCTAACGGATACCAACGTATAGCAAGCTATCAACATGCGCTAGGGGCCTCTTCTTTTGTAACTTGCTTTGTACTTTGTACGACACAGGCCAACATCACTGCTCACCCATATACATATCATTATTTTAACATCACAATACAACAAACACCTGTGCATTGATTATGTGACGAACGCTGCAGCTAGAAACTCCTCTCAACTCATAACAATCGTTCTTGACTTGGAGCCACAGCGCAGGTTGTCTTTGTGACTTGCATATACACATTCAAATTTCGAACCTTTTGCACGAAAAAGATGCCAAAAAGCTCACGCGAAAACTTGTTAAATTTGCCGGGGTGTTCACTAAGGCTGTTCCCTTGCTTCCAAGCCGCGGCCTGGCGGAGCGTCTGGAATCAAGGGCAGGCCAAAAAACAAACACAACCGGCGTGAGTGGTCGAGCAGACGCTGAGCTGTGGCTGCCGCGGTCAGCTGAACCGCACTGAGAAGTAGCGTTGTCTAAAAACAAGACGACGGTAGCGTTGTCTAGGAGCAAGCTGACGGTGCAATGGTATGCGTGCAGCGAACAGGCAAAGGCCAGCAGAGGGGCACGGCCGTGTGGGATGCGGTGCAGTGCAGTGGGGAGTGACCGGGCTCGAAGGAGAGCACCCCAGATGCTTACATGCCACAGGGCAAAGCAAAAGCGGCAGGGCCGCAACAAACCCCCCGAAAACAAAAACAGCACCACAACAAAGACCAACGACCACAACGACCACAACAAAACCCCGCCCCTCTCCCAAGCCCGAGACGACCTAAAAATCCCGACCCTGCTCAGCCTGCCCGGCTGCAGAAAAAACAACCTAAACCCAAAAACACGCGACCACGCAACCACACCGTGCCCCGGGCCGTACCGCGACAAAGGGCAACCTAAAACTGCCACGGCACGACCCACCGTCAGTGGACCGCATAACCACCAGCCAACCCGCTAGCCTAAGGTCCGCAAACCCTGCCGCCGCTGAACTGGACGCCACGGCCCACGAAAAGCGACGGCGCAGGTCCGAAAGCCCAAAGCGTCCGTAAGCCCAGAGCTGTTGCTGTATCTGCCGTCATGACCGCTGCTGCTGCCACAGAGCAACCAGAAGAGACAACAAGGCATTAGGAAGGTAGGAGCGTACGCTGCAGCTGTGACCAACGGGGGTGGTGAGGGAGGAGGTGAAGGTGTAGCCGGAAGAACCGACGGAGGGCGAGGAGAAGGAAAGGACGTGGATAACCGCGGAGATGGAGGTGGCGCATAGCATCTTGGGCGGCGGAGGTGAAGGCGGAGGCGGTGGAACTGAACCGAGCGTGCGTCATAAGGATATTAATGACGAGGTTAAGTTTGCTGTGGTGGGGAAGGGTGCTGGTGAAGAGGGTGTAGCGGACGATAGGGAGGTGGCGAAACTTGGGGCCGTCGCGCTTGTCGTAGGGAGCAAGGGTGAAGAGAAGGTGCCCGGGGAGGGTGGAGGCGGAGGCGGTAATGGCAAAATTCATGTAGGGGAGGGAGGGAGTGGTGTGGGAGGAGGCGCCGGAGGAGGTAAGAGTGAGGGAGATGGGGTAGATGCCGGGTAGCAGCCCAAGGAAGAGCTGGTTGGCGCTGAGGAGGTGGGGGAGGAATGGATTGTCCAGGCTGAGGAGGTCGTCGGCGAACCGGTATGTCTGTTGGAAGGCAAGTAGGATATCCAGCGCGAGGCTGGGTGGAAGGGGGAGTGGTGGAAGGAGGGCATGTGGCTGGCGGCGCAGTAGAGGGTGCGGAGGAAGCGGTACTCGTGAGCACACAAGGCCATGTTGGCGACGTACGTATGTTGGCACGTGTGTCTGTGTGTGTGTGTGTGTGTTAAGAAAACTGGCCGCGAGTAGGAACATACTGTGATTGTCGGAAGATGAAGTCCCCACAGAACCGCCGCAGGAGCCGAGGAACATTGTAGCGTATGTAGATATAGAAGTCCAGTACTGGTGCTGAGAATAAGTAGGACGTAAGAAGCACTCTCGTAAAACGACCGGACCTAAGGCCCGTAGTAGTAAGTTGATATGTATGTAGTAGCTGACAGTATCGAGGATAGTAGGTAGGTAGATAGGCTGGAACTGCCGCTGAACAGGTTGCAAAACAGGGGAGCATGCCGAGACGTCGCAGTGCATGTGCGAGCAAAACAAGACAAGCAAAGCAAGTGCAAGACCACTATGTGCGGATGTTACCGTAGACTGACCTGCAGACAGGAACGAAAGCATCCGGCAGCCAGCAACCAGTGTCAATAACCGACGGCAAGAAGAGGAACATGCGAGGGCGGGAGAAAAGCAGGAACACATGTGAGCGCCGCAACCTAACTATGCCGGACCTAACAAAAATGGAAAAAGGAGGCGGACGAGGAAACAGGCAGATATGGCAAACATTGCGCATGGGATGAGAGACTTGTGTGTGTAGTTGCTTAGGACAAGAGCAAGCAGTTGGGAGAGGTTCGCATGTGAACCGCGAGTACAGGCAAAACAGTGTGTGTGTGTGTGTGTGTGTGTGTGTGTGTGTGTGTGTGTGTGTGTGTGTGTGTGTGTGTGTGTGTGTGTGTGTGTGTGTGTGTGTGTGTGTGTGTGTGTGTGTGTGTGTGTGTGTGTGTGTAGTTGAGTAGGACAGGAGCAAGCAATGGGGAGAGGTTCGCATGTGAACCGCGAGTACAGGCAAAACAAAGTTGACCGAACCTGAACCGTAATACAGAAAACTGCTTAATTGGCTGTTGCTGGATGTAAGAAGAGTGGCGAGTGATGAGTGACGACGCATGTCGGTGATGCTGATGGTGTCGGAATAAACTAAAATACTACCGAGAACTAAAGCCCGCTGACCAAAGCTCGACGCCGGGAGCCCCCGCTCTGGACACGCAGACGAGACACCACAATGCTGTGCATGCGTGCGTGCAAACGCGCATTGCGTACCTGCGAGCAAAGACGCCGTAGTCAGCACCAGAACCAGCAGCCACAGTAATGCGAGTAATGCCATGCGCAGAAGCATGAACCAGAGCGAGGAAAGGGGGACAGAGTTAGAGACAAAAAGAACCTATATCTAAGTGCGAAATGTACGGCAAAACAGGATGGCATGCGATACAGGACGAAAAACAAGCACAGCACAACATGAATGCAAATGCAGAAGACAAAAACAAACACAACCGGCGTGAGTGGTCGAGCAGACGCTGAGCTGTGGCTGCCGCGGTCAGCTGAACCGCACTGAGAAGTAGCGTTGTCTAAAAACAAGACGACGGTAGCGTTGTCTAGGAGCAAGCTGAAGGTGCAATGGTATGCGTGCAGCGAACAGGCAAAGGCCAGCAGAGGGGCACGGCCGTGTGGGATGCGGTGCAGTGCAGTGGGGAGTGACCGGGCTCGAAGGGGAGCACCCCAGATGCTTACATGCCACAGGGCAAAGCAAAAGCGGCAGGGCCGCAACAAACCCCCCAAAACCCCCCGAAAACAAAAACAGCACCACAACAAAGACCAACGACCACAACGACCACAACAAAACCCCGCCCCTCTCCCAAACCCGAGACGACCTAAAAATCCCGACCCTGCTCAGCCTGCCCGGCTGCAGAAAAAAACAACCTAAACCCAAAAACACGCGACCACGCAACCACACCGTGCCCCGGGCCGTACCGCGACAAAGGGCAACCTAAAACTGCCACGGCACGACCCACCGTCAGTGGACCGCATAACCACCAGCCAACCCGCTAGCCTAAGGTCCGCAAACCCTGCCGCCGCTGAACTGGACGCCACGGCCCACGAAAGCGACGGCGCAGGTCCGAAAGCCCAAAGCGTCCGTGAGCCCAGAGCTGTTGCTGTATCTGCCGTCATGACCGCTGCTGCTGCCACAGAGCAACCAGAAGAGACAACAAGGCATTAGGAAGGTAGGAGCGTACGCTGCAGCTGTGACCAACGGGGGTGGTGAGGGAGGAGGTGAAGGTGTAGCCGGAAGAACCGACGGAGGGCGAGGAGAAGGAAAGGACGTGGATAACCGCGGAGATGGAGGTGGCGCATAGCATCTTGGGCGGCGGAGGTGAAGGCGGAGGCGGTGGAACTGAACCGAGCGTGCGTCATAAGGATATTAATGACGAGGTTAAGTTTGCTGTGGTGGGGAAGGGTGCTGGTGAAGAGGGTGTAGCGGACGATAGGGAGGTGGCGAAACTTGGGGCCGTCGCGCTTGTCGTAGGGAGCAAGGGTGAAGAGAAGGTGCCCGGGGAGGGTGGAGGCGGAGGCGGTAATGGCAAAATTCATGTAGGGGAGGGAGGGAGTGGTGTGGGAGGAGGCGCCGGAGGAGGTAAGAGTGAGGGAGATGGGGTAGATGCCGGGTAGCAGCCCAAGGAAGAGCTGGTTGGCGCTGAGGAGGTGGGGGAGGAATGGATTGTCCAGGCTGAGGAGGTCGTCGGCGAACCGGTATGTCTGTTGGAAGGCAAGTAGGATATCCAGCGCGAGGCTGGGTGGAAGGGGGAGTGGTGGAAGGAGGGCATGTGGCTGGAAGGCGGCGCAGTAGAGGGTGCGGAGGAAGCGGTACTCGTGAGCACACAAGGCCATGTTGGCGACGTACGTGGCGAAGTTGGCGCCCATGGCAACACCCCGCGTTTGCTGATACAGCTGGCCACGGTAGGCAGCGTAAGCGTTGCGCAACAGAGTGAGCAGTACATCCGCAAACTGTGGGAGGGTCCAGCAGTAATAGGCGCCCAGAATGTCGCTGCCACGGGAAAGCGGTTGGTTGTTCTTGGTCGGCCATTTCTCCGCGGTGAGCCAGGTAGCAGGAGTGTTGCGTTTGGCAGGGTAGAACTTGAAACCAACGGCGTTGGGGTGGAGGTGTGTGCGGATGTCGTGCGGATGTCGTCCACCAATGCGCAAATGTCACGTACTGTAGCATCAATGTCCAAATTGGTGAACAGACGCTCGACGTCGTAGGACTGGAGGGTGGGAGCGGAGGCGAGGGGCTGACTGGCGAAATGGGAGTTGAGGTAGGCTGAAGTGTGGATGGGAAGGGTGGCGGAGGGTAAAGGGTTGAGGAAGGAGGAGGGAAGGGGGGTAGGGGCGGGGGGGTGGGGAGGTGGGGGAGGGGGCGGGGGCGGTAGGCGGGGCAGGCTGGGCGGCTTGGCCACGGCGGGAGCGGAGGGGGTAGCGAGGCTCGGGGCTGTTGTAGGGGACACAGAGGCGCTGGTAGGTGTCGCGGATGGTGGAGGTGAGGTGGGGAGGGGAAGGCGCGGAGGGGGTGAGGAGAGGAGGAGGGGAGTGGGGGCCGTCATAATGGAGGAAGGTACCGGCATGGGTGTGGGGACTGGCGAGGCGGGGCGAGAGGTTGGCAGCTTGGACGAGTTCCCCAGCGGCCTGGGGGCCGGCGAGGTGCCAGGGGCGGGCTTGGATGCCGGGCATGACGGTGCGGAAGAGCTTGGGGAGTTCGCCGTCGAGGGAGCGGAGGGCTGCAGTGAGGATTTTGGCTGCTTGGGTGGTGGGGATGCGAGGAGAGGCGGTGATGAAACGGAAATCGGGCTGGGCCTTGTGGGCTTTGTATGTGGCGTAGTAGGTAGGGGGGGAAAGGTGCAGGTGGATGGGAAGGTGGAGGGGTGCGAGGGTGAGGCGCGCTTGGGCGAGCAGCTGGTGGTAGGTGGAGAGAGAGAGAGGAGCGTAGAAGGTGGATTGCTGAAGGTCATCGGAAATGCGGCTGTGGTAAAGGGCGGGGCAGAAGAGGGCGAAGTTGTTGGGGCACTTGTCCATGACGGAGATGGCATAGCGCTGGCGAAGGTGGAGGAGCTCTTGGAGGGCGTTGGCGAGGCGGTCGGGGGACAGGGGAAAGGTGGGGAAGGGGGCGTGCGGATGGGAGGAGGAGGAGGAAGGGGAAAGGGTGACGTCGGACGGGGCGTGGGGGGCGAGGGAGGGATGGATGGCGTGAAGGAGGGCGGTGTAGGCAGCCTTGCGCCAGGGGTCGAGTTCGGCGGTGGGGACACGGAGGTGGTGGAGACGCCTTGTGTACGTGGAGAGGGCGGAGGAAAGGGAGGAGGCAAGGCTGTCGCGGTCGTCCGCATTGGACAGCTGGAGGAGTGGTGGTGGAAGTCGTGTGTTGGCGCCTGCTCGCCAGAGGTAGAGGGCGTCGGGGGAGAGGATGGCAGCGGGGTCGGTGGTGAGGACATGGCCGGCAATGGGATGGCGCGGCAGGGGAGAGAGGTGGCAGGTGCAGGCGATGGAGCAGCGGGCGTTGCGACTGAGGGTGGCGGCATTGACGAGGTGCGTGCGGAGGGAAGGCGGGCTGGCGTAGGTGAGGGCGGGAACAGGTGGGACATGGGCTGGCAGGGCGAGGAGGACACCAGGAGTGCGGAGGGCGGCGCGGGCGCGGGCGAGAGGGAGGAGAGGTGCGAGGGGAGCTGGGAGGGCGAGGGAGAGGTGGTAAGGGGGCCGCTGGCGTAGTTGGCTGCGTTGGGCGGTGGCGATGGCACGGTGGAGGAGGCGAAGGAGAGTGAGGCGATGGGTTTCGGTCATGTGGCGGTGGATGGAGGGGAGAGGGAGGCGGAGGAGGTGGTAATAGAGCTTGCGGAGGGTGAGGAGCTTGTAAGAGGGAAGGGGACCAAGGCGGTCGGGGAGGGCGATGGAGGCGCGTTGGAGCAGAAGGAAGATGTGCTGAAGGCGGCGGCGGAAGTCGCGGGAGGCATACCAGCGACCAGCGAGAGGGCGGTGGGGGGGAGGATGAGGAGGTGGGGGGGTGGGGGTGGTGGTGGTGGGAAGGGAGACGTCGAGGAGACTGCTTGTAATACGTTGGACGTTGTAGCCGGCAGGGCTGAAAGCTCCGACAGCATGGGCCCAGTAGGCCTCGCGGTCATTAGCGTTGGTCTCATGGAAGGGGGTGGGAAGGGTTTCGAGGACAAGAAAGTAGGCCCGGGAGAGGGTGAAGGTGACGAAAGCTTGCTGCAGCGGCCCGAGTGGGTGACCGTGGCGGTAGGAGCTCCGAACTAGATCCAAATGCGACTGCATACGATCCGCTAACGTATTGCGTGTCTGGCCGATATAGATACGCTGCAAGGGGTCTGCGTGGAAGGTGATGGCGTAGATAATGCCGGCGACGGCGGGGTCGGGGAGGTGAGTGACGGGGTTACGCAGATGTGGTGGGGGAGGAGGGGCGCGGCGGGGGGGAGCACGGCGGCGTGGGAGGAGTCGTGGCGGTGGTGGTGAGCGGGCAGTGGTGGCGGTGGTGGCGGGGGAGGGTGGAGACGGAGGAGACGGAGGATTGGTAGGAAGAGGAGGTGGAGGATCCGCAGGGAATGGAGGTGGAGGCGAGTCGGGGGAAGGAGGTGGAGGCGAGTCGGGGGGGAGAGGTGGAGGCGAGGCAGGTGGAGGCGAGGCAGGTGGAGGCGAGTCGGGGGGAAGAGGTGGAGGCGAGGCAGGTGGAGGCGAGTCGGGGGGAAGAGGTGGAGGCAAGGCAGGTGGAAGAGGTGGAGGCGAAGTAGGAGGAAGAGGTGGAGGCGAGTCGGGGGGAAGAGGTGGAGGGGAGTCGGGGGGAAGGGGTGGAAATATCGGAGAGGTGATGGGGGAGGTGGCGGAGGGGATGGGGGAGGTGGGGGAGGGGGTGGGGGAGGTGGGGGAGGGGATGGGGAAGGTGGGGGGAAGAAGGGTGGCCGGGGGAGGGGTAGGAGAGGTGTGGAGGCCATGAGTGGCAGCATTGATGGCGGCGATGGTGAGGACGAGGCCGAGGAGGGCTTGCGGGATGTGGCGGAAATGAGGGCGTAAGAAAGTCCGATACGAGAGGCGGATGCGCTGCTGGATGAGGGGAGACGACCGCGGCACAGGATCTAAGAGCTGGCTGGAAATGCTCGGACACAGCCGCACGCGAGCAGTGGGGACGCGCAAAAGGGCGACCCGAGCTCGGCGTTGCATGGTTTAGTGGGGCTGGGTGGGGGAGGGCGCTGGTGGTGGCGGCGGGGGGTGGTGGAGGTGGGCAGCGTAGGGATGGTGGTGGTAGGGAGGTGGTGGAGGAGCAGGCGGGTTGGTGGCGGAGATGGCGACGTGGGAGGCAGCTGCGTGAGGGGCTGCGGCAGGGGTAGTGGGAGGAGGTGGGTGAAGGGGTACCTGGAAGTCACCGGGAGGCGGCGGCAGGGGTGTGTAGGTGGGCCGGAGGGGGAGGGGGTGAAGGCGGGCGAGGCAGGCGGCGTCGGAGAGGTGGAAGAGCGCGTTGAGGTTGTGGGGGTTCAGGGGGATGCGGAGCGGGTGCTGCACACCGTGGCGCCGGCAGATGTCGCACAAGGTGGTGAGGTGGATGTCGCGTTGGAAGTTGCCGCGGACAGCGTCCTGAAGGCGAAAGGCGCACGTAGGGCAGATCTGGGTCTGGGCGAAGACGTCACCGACGACGCTGGGGTAGGCGACGACCCGTAGCTGCTTGCACAGCACGCAGGTACCGCGTAGCTGGGCGTTACACCCCGTGAAGGCGGTGGCCAGGTCCGCCGTGTAGACACGGAGTGGCTGGACGTTGAAAGGGGCGGGGAGGCTTACGGCAGGGAGGTGAGACTGCCGAGGGAAGTCGGAGGCAGCGGGTGCGGATGTTGCTGGTTGCTGTGGCTGCAGAGGGACCGACGGCGGCTGCTGCGGTGGCGGTGGCTGCTGCTGCTGCTGATGCGGAAACATAAGAACAGCGGCGGCAGAGGGGACCAGAGGAGCGGTGGCAGCGATTACCGTCCACCCGGTAGAGGCACAGTGCGGTCCTGCGAGGCCAGGCAGGCTCAGCAACCCGAAATACGAGAATACAGGCGAAGGGAGCAAGAGCAAAATGGCAGTGGGGAGAGCGAGCGCGGCTCAAACAGGCCCCCTGCGCGTGGAAGTAGACCACGCAATGTGTGTAGTTGAGTAGTACAGGAGCAAGCAATGGGGAGAGGTTCGCATGTGAACCGCGAGTACAGGCAAAACAAAGTTGACCGAACCTGAACCGTAATACAGAAAACTGCTTAATTGGCTGTTGCTGGATGTAAGAAGAGTGGCGAGTGATGAGTGACGACGCATGTCGGTGATGCTGATGGTGTCGGAATAAACTAAAATACTACCGAGAACTAAAGCCCGCTGACCAAAGCTCGACGCCGGGAGCCCCCGCTCTGGACACGCAGACGAGACACCACAATGCTGTGCATGCGTGCGTGCAAACGCGCATTGCGTACCTGCGAGCAAAGACGCCGTAGTCAGCACCAGAACCAGCAGCCACAGTAATGCGAGTAATGCCATGCGCAGAAGCATGAACCAGAGCGAGGAAAGGGGGACAGAGTTAGAGACAAAAAGAACCTATATCTAAGTGCGAAATGTACGGCAAAACAGGATGGCATGCGATACAGGACGAAAAACAAGCACAGCACAACATGAATGCAAATGCAGAAGACAAAAACAAACACAACCGGCGTGAGTGGTCGAGCAGACGCTGAGCTGTGGCTGCCGCGGTCAGCTGAACCGCACTGAGAAGTAGCGTTGTCTAAAAACAAGACGACGGTAGCGTTGTCTAGGAGCAAGCTGAAGGTGCAATGGTATGCGTGCAGCGAACAGGCAAAGGCCAGCAGAGGGGCACGGCCGTGTGGGATGCGGTGCAGTGCAGTGGGGAGTGTGTGTGTGTGTGTGTGTGTGTGTGTGTGTGTGTGTGTGTGTGTGTGTGTGTGTGTGTGTGTGTGTGTGTGTGTGTGTGCGCGTGTGCGTGTGTGCGTGTGCGCGTGTGCGTGTGTGCGTGTGCGCGTGTGCGCGTGTGCGTGTGCGT